AGTGGAAAAAATAAATAAAAAGTGTGAGTGGGGCCCTGGCCAGATAGTTCAGTTGGTTAGAGCGTCCTGATACACCAAGGTTGTGGGTTTGAACCCCAGTCAGGGCACATACAAGGGCTAACCAATGAATGCATAAATAAGTGGAACAATAAAAATCGATGTTTTTTTCTCTCTCTCTAATCAATTTTTTAAAAAGTGTGAGCAGTTCAGAAGACTATTTCAAGTTTTTCAAAACCTCTTGGGTAGGGGGAGGTGGAAGAGGTTAAAGGGGATAAATGGTGATGAAAGGAAATCTGACTTTGGATAGTCAATACAAAATACTGCTGATGTACTACAGAACTGCATACCTGAAACCTAAATAATTTTATTCAATACATTTTTAAATAAAATATAATTTGGAGACAAATTTTTAATTCAATTATACTGTAAAAAAATAAAGATCTCATTACTATTCTACTTCTAAAGCAAAAACAAGTGTCTCATTTCCTTATTCCCATTAACTACCAAAGGCTAGGAAGAAAAGTGATCACCTTAGATATGGAGTAAGATGTGCTCCAACAGATTAATAATTTTGATCACTTTCTACTCGTGGAAGTCTAAATGTGTCCTGTATATAAAGGTAGTTTGATTTTGCTGGAAACTCAGAGAATGATGAATTACAGAACTGCCCACATTCTTGGTTCTGCTTGAAACAACCATAGAGTGTATCCACAAGTCTGAATTACCAACACTGTAATGAAGATGCATGCAGAAAAGGAGGGGGTCTCCATCTTAAGAAACACCTAAATTACAGATGCCCATTTTTGCAAAGCGAAAATCAAAAATTTCAAATTATTTTTATAGCCAAGAAGTAACAAAAAGCAAAGTGGAATCTGTGTCAGAAAACATGAGTTCCAGTCTTTCCCCTAAATGTGGCCTCTTAGTCAAATCAATTAACGAGGCCTTATCTTTCATTATGTTAATGCTCCAGAGGATTTTTGGGAAAATCTTTAAGATAGGATCTTTAAACCCTCGAAGAGCCCATTATTATCAAACCAGGAAAGCACTCATTCATTCAACTAATACTGCATTCAGTGACCAACCACTGTGTGTCAGGTACTGACTGGGACCCTGTGAATACAGTAATAAATGTGACATTCAAACTGCCACAAACAGGCTATATGTTCATTCCCTTTACACCCTTCCTACTGGCCTTTAACCCTTTTCCTTTAAAAAAAAAAAAAAAAAGAGGGTACCAACAAAAAATAAGAAATAAAATGGTAAGCAGTTGCTTTATATCTGTAAAATTTTTGTTATTGTCGGAGACAGAAAAAAGTCGGGCTATGTTCTTTGCCTGGCAAGAGAAGAAAGACATTTTTCACCCTCTCCCCTTCCTCCCCATCCTGCATTTACCATAAACATCTTGCTTTCTCTGGATATTTTCAGGAGTTCTAAAACTACATGTTCTGGCTTTTACACCAGGTGATTTAGCACCAAAAAAACCCCACAACATTATTATCAATAATAGATCCCTATTGCAACATGTCTTTCCAACTCTCTAAAGAAAAATTTTACTACTACACTTTATGTCAGAATGCTTACCTTATTCTTATAATTCCAAGTTAGCTAAAACGAAAAAGGCTTATCTAACCTTTGATATTAAGTGCCTTGCTTTCTAAAGTTTACTTCCCTAACTTACAAATTTTATCAGGAATTTAACAGACAATCAATTCTTTAAATAAACTAAAATACCTACTAAAATTCAGAGTTTAGAATATTTTCTCCACCTGGCAAATAAGTCCTATAACACAGCACACTTTGCATGTGTTATGTTAGAAGGGGAAATACACAGGCAATATAGCTTCAGAATATGCATATGAAACTCTTCAAGCAAAGAATTAGGTCTTATTGTTCTGATTTTCAGCAAAATACATGTAATGTTGGGCTAATTCTAAATGCTAAATAAGTAATGCTGCCGAAACCGGCTTGGCTCAGTGGATAGAGCGTCGGCCTGCGGACTGAAGGGTCCCAGGTTCGATTCCGGTCAAGGGCATGTACCTGGGTTGCAGGCACATCCCCAGTAGGAGATGTGCAGGAGGCAGCTGATCGATGTTTCTCTCTCATCGATGTTTCTAATTTTCTATCTCTCTCCCTTCCTCTCTGTGAAGGAAAGAGGAAGGAAGAGGGAGAGATAGAAACATAGATTGGCTGCCTGGTGCACACCCCCTCCTGGGACTCAAGCTCAAAGCCCAAGCTTGTGCCCCGACCAGGCGTCAAACCAGGGACTTCTCAGCGCATGGGACAATGCTCAGCCAACTCAGACATGCCGGCCAGGGGAAGATGTTTTTACTTTTAAAGCACCACGCATCTTCACACCATTCCAACCCAGATACTTTGGCCCTTGTGAAGGAGCACCTCACACCTGCAGAACCCGAGAACCAGCGAGTTTTCTGGAGATTACTAGCTACCTCAGGAATGGACTTGAAACCAGCACCATCTCTGACAAGCTCCAGTCTAAGGGTCAAATGGTGAGAGCAACATAAGTGGAAGGAGAAAACACAAAGTGGAGAATGAAAAGAAAGGGGAGGGCAAGCAAGAAAGAAAAGTGAAAAAAGGCACAAGGAAATGCAATTCTTCCATAACCAATAGGGGGACGAAGGGGATTTCTGATTTCCAAACTTCACAGCCAACTCTCACCATTAGAATACACTCTACTGAAAACAAGAGATCGTCTGCTGTGGACTGAATGTGACCCCTCCAATGTCATATGGTGGAGCCCTAATGTGATAGTATTTGGAGAGGGGGGCCTTTGGGAGGTCATTAGGTCATGAGGGTGGCCCCCACGACGGGATTAGTGTCCTCATAAGAGGAAGAGAGAGAGCCCTTCCCCCATGTGAGGACACCGTGAGAAATCGGCTGTCTACAAGCCAGGAAGTCCAGGAAGGGGTCCTCCCTGGAACCCAACCATGGAGGCACCCAGATCTCCGACTAGCGGCCTCCACAACTGTGAGAAGCAAATATTTATTTAAGTACCTAGGCGGGGGTATTTGTTACAGCAGCCCGAGAAGACATCACTCAAAGTGACTAGTAAACAGTGCAGCCTTGAACCTTAGAAATAGTCGTCAAAGGGGAGGACTTCATGCACCAGGCGTCACTCAGGATCACCTGCTACTGAGTAAGGGCACATGACTGCACTCTCCCCTTCTTCTGGTTTGGAAGTTAAGAGGTCGAAAAGACTAACACTTCCTAACATAAGAAGAAATCTGTCCTCGGAAGGTGGTTAAAGAACCTTAAAAGCTCTGGCAAGGAACCCCTAGCCTAGCTGCACATGACTCGGTCCTCACCCGTGAACGATTTCCCTCGTTTCTAGTCTCCAGGACTAAGTTTGATAGCAATGCTTGGTGCACGCCTGTCGTTTTAAGAGCAACCCATTTGTTCCATTACAGCCTTCTCTAATCTGATGTGAGCCTGGCTGGGTTGGCAGGGCTTCCTGGTGTGGCTCCAGGATCGGGAGGCTCAAGCGCCAGACTGAGAAGTCCAGCCCAAATGCCCCGTTTGGGGGAAAGCCTCTCTGCAAAACACGGCCTCGGTCGGCGAAACGGGCCCAAGCTCCCCGACCATCTTCTCCCAAGTCCTGCTTCCCACGGCATGCTTCCTCCAAAAAAGGAAGAAACCGGCCTAGGGCTCGGCGCCCGCCCGCTAGTATTTACCTCTCACAGGAGCTTGTTTGCAAAACAGATTGGAGGCACCTACCGCTCGACTTTACAGGAAACGCCCAACTCTGACACCCGCCACCAAGGTTTGCGTGAGCGCCTACTACCGTCGGGCCCCGCGTCTCTGAGCGCTCCCTCCCCACCAGGGGCGCGGGGGCCGGGCG